AAACGGGGCCCCAGCCACGATCAGATATGGCATTTTTTCCTCTTTTTTCTGTATTTTATTTGCTATTCTTTTTTTTTTTTTTTTTTGGCCAAACCAAACTGAAAAATTCAGCGCCGTCCGAAATGCTAATTGCCAATGGGTCAGACCCCCGGCTTGCATGTCGCTTGTTCCTGCTGCTATTAGTTGAAAAGTCAGTCACACAATGTGTCACGCAGCAAAGTGCAACTTCACACACACATACACTTTTCCCAACGCTTCTCAAAACTAAAAAAAAAACTAAATAAATAAGGTGGAAAAAACACGCATACGCAATGTGTTCCGAGCGGTCGGAGCGAAATTTGAAAGCACAGTCGGAGTTGTAAATCAGTGGGAAATCACTGCGGCAGCTCCGGATTTTCAAGGTTTCTGTCTCGTGTGCAGTTTTCATGTTGTTTATTTTGAATATACTAAAGTATAATACTTTCTTTTACATGATCTGAATCATACTTTAAGTTTTAGAAGTTACTTTATATTACGGAAAAATGTGTACAGAGTAATATCTATTACTTGTTAACTGATATATGGCTTAAATACTGATTTTTTGCAGCCCTAAAAAAATAGCTGACTTGTTTGTGCTTCCTTCTTGTTTTTCCTCTTTGTGCATTACTTGTTCAGCCAATGTTATACATTATAATTGTACAATAGTAATTGTTGTTGTTGTGTAAATTAGAAGGCGGCTGTCAGATAAAAACAGCAACTACAGGGGAAAAAATGTAAGGAAAAACTACGAAAAAAAATAAAAAAAAATTGAACAACGCAACTGAGAAATGCGCAATAATTGATGCACGCAAAATGCGATTTGACCGACCCAATGGGAGCGAGCGAGATGGCGCTAGGCAGGAGTGGGCGGTGGGTGGAGGGGTGTGTGGGTGGTATTTGGGTTTGAGGTTGGGGCATAGCATATAATTGCGTTATAGTTTGTAGCTGTTGCAATGCCACAGCGATAACACACACGCCAGCCCACACACACACACACACACACACAAATTCACGCATGGAAATGCATTTTAGGGTGACCATGCTCCTATTGCATGCGCACACGCTCACTGCGTCTCTCTCTCACACAGTCGCCCTCTCTCCCTTGCACAATGCAACCTGCACACTGCACACTGCACATTTCTCTTAAGCTCCTTTGTTGTCTGCTTAAGGTCGCCAATTAATCACTTCCTATTTCGTGTGAAATTTAACTTTGTTCCCCCTAATTGGTGTTACCCTATCCTTAAACACTTATTTAGCCTGGTAAGAGTGACCTTTTCTCGAAACGATTCCATTAACCATTATCTTGTTATAGACATTTATGAAGATTTCTAAAGTAAAGGAAATACCAATATCGATTGTGTTCTATTGTATTTGGTACCTTTTTCAAGTAAAATCATAAGCAAACAGCGAACTTGTTAGGCAACCCTTTTTTCTTAAGACTCAGCAGCTATCATTTGCATTGCCCATTGCCCGTAGTTTTTGAGTAGGAAGAGTTTGCCAATATAAGTGGCACATGGACATATGTATAGCGTTATCAGAAAAGCCCACAGTCCGAGTATATGAACAAAACACCTGGGCCGATCGGGTTGCATTAATATTAATTAACGGCATATCCAAAGTGCGTATCTTTGGCTTGGAGTGGTGCTGTAATCTTTTTTTCTTTCTTTCTGACGTGTGAGTTGGTGTGTTTTGAGTTCGGCATTCAGTGTTCAGTATTCCGTTTTCCGTAAACAGAAAACCTGCGACTGGCGCCACAAAAGCGAGTGGGAGTTGCGGGCGTGGCAGCGGCAATAATAACAATTACAAATTGCACGTTGTTGCATCGTGAGCATTTCTGTTTATTTTATTTTTTTCTCAGTCGCTTACAATTTTTTTCTTCTTATTTTTCCTCCAATGCTTAGCTGAGCACGCATTTTCGATAATAAAAAAAATATATACTTGTATGTACATATATGTATGTGGCCTAAGCGATATATAGTGTGCATTACATAAAAAATAACTCATGAATGCAGCCGCGTGTGTTTTGATATTTTTTAACACGCAAACACGCGGCGTATGCGTAATAAAAAAAGAGCACATTGCAGAAATGCTTGAAAAGCGAGATTTAAAATCACTGAACGCGTAAGGTTATATAAAAAAAAAACTTTATAGGCCAAACTAAATATTGAAACGAATAATATTTTATTGTTAAATTCGTTTTCCACATTCTTGCATTTAAAGTCAGCTTCTTGAACTCCGTTTATTTATTTTTTTTGTTTAGGCCAAGTCATGATAACGGTTCTCCAATTGAGCGTGCGAAAAATCCAGAGAGATCTGTGGGCTGTCAACGCTTTGAGTTTGAGGAAAGCGCAAAAAGACGAGAAAAGCGAAAAAAGCGAGAAAAAAACGGCATCGAGACAGAGGAAAATTGATTTGTCACGTTGCGCATAAATTGCACATAATTATGTAAGCAACCGTTTCTCCGTCGCTGCATTTTCACTTGGCAACCCAACTCTTTTGCCGCTCAATCAATAGAAATAACTTTTGTTTTGCCGTCTCATCAATTAGGCCTTAATTTTGTCATAGTCTAGCCAACTTGCACTTGGCCCGAACGGGTGCTAACGTTTTATTAATGGGAAAAGGCATTTCCCTCGATTCGCGACCCTGGGAACTAGGAAAAAGCAAGCGGAAAACTAGGAAAACTCTTTTCCACCATGACAGACCTTTCTAGTTACTACAGCTCTCAATTTATCCGTATTTGACCTTGTTTTACAGTAATTAACTGAAAGAAAAAATCAAAAAGGGTTTTGAAGAGTTCTTATGAACTTTCAGTAAAATCTAAACCTCTTTTAGAAATGCTAAGGGTATGAAAGCACATGGCGGAGTCACCAATTAAATGTATTTGTTATAGAAAGAGGGTTCGTTAAGGGGTTGTAACCCTGGACGATTGTGAAAAATGGTATTTCCGATTTGAAATTAGAGGCAGACGAAACGAACGTTTTACCTTTCGAGTGGCACAGACAGAGGAATATAATATATAGTTCACTATACCTATATATAATGGACAAACCATTAGATGTGCTGAAAGGCAGGGTTGTCGCTCACACGCACACAGTTGCCCACCAACACACTCGCGGCCATTCACAACAGGGCAGCTGCTGTCAATCAAAGCGGAAAAAAACTTTGACAGCCATGAACATGATGACTGTCTGTGAATGTGTGTGTGTATTTTTGCTAATTTTGGAAACTGCAATTAACGCATGCACACACACACACAAGCGAGTGTTTGGCTAATTAAAACAATTTCGCAATTGTGCAAAAAAAAGTTCAATTTAAGCAGAGGAACCTTCACTTGAGCCAAGCCAAAGCGCCATGTTTGGCCACACAATTGTTTGACAGCAAACACACACAAACACACCCGTACTTTAAACCTCTATTTTTTTTACGATCTTTCAGCATTCACTTCCCATTGTCAAAAAGCGCAGACGACGTCGCTCACTTCCGCTTCGATCAACTCGAGCCAACACACAAAGTAAAAAAGAAGCATGCAAACATGCAATAAAATAAAAAGCCAAAAACAAAATGAAATAAAATACAACTTTTGTCATGCATTAAGATTTTTTGGTGCTTTCCCCCCTCCCCAGTTTTTGCTGGGCTTCTCCTCTCCCCACCCCTCGCCTTCCCCTCATCTCTTCTCATTATGATCCCATATGCGCAGCGACCTTGGCCTTCAAAAATAAAACACGAAAAAAACCAAAAAAAAAAAAGAATCGCAAACAATTTTTGCAGTCTCTTTTTTTCCTGATTGTGGTTTGGCTCGCCTTTGTTTGATATTTTTTCTGGCCACAGTGGGAATTGCAGGGGGCACCAAGGGGTTAAGACACCCTGTGCGGTTAATTGCATGAAAACTACACTTTTTGGCGTGGAATTTGTGAATTTTGGTTATAAATCTGAAAGCTAACTTACAGTAAATTTGAGTCGAAAACTGAACTGAAATATAGTTATGCATTCTGACAGTATTTTAGTTGAAAATTGTATTGATTTTAGCAGGACTTTCTGCACCAATATTGTAGTTTTTTTTAAATAAATTATATTATTCATTATTCGTTGTATTATATTTCTTCTGATTTTTTTCTATTATAAATATTTTTATTTTTGAAAATAAGCAGAAGTTTATATTTCAGAAAACGCTCTCTAATTTGTCAGTTTTTCGATAAGCAGTATATATACGAATCAGTAGTTTTTCTAAATTATTCATTTGCAAATTCATTTCTTGAACTTACCTTAAACTAAAACACTCGCCAGTCGGGCGTTACCCGTCCAGCAATCCATAAGTTTCAATTTTCCAATTGAATTTTGTCGGGGGCCGTCGTCTTCGTCGATTTTGGATTGTTGTTTGTTGCAGTTGCTGTTCTTGTTTTTGTTGTTGTTTTTAGCTTGGTGTTGTTGCTGGTTGTCGCTGCAGTTGTTTGTTGGTTGTTCTTGTTGTTTGTTGACTGATCTGTGACTTTTCGCTTGCGTCTTTTTAAAATATTTAATTTTTGCACACCGAAATATTTGATTTGAGGCTGTTTTGCAACACTGTCATATATTTTTGCGGGTTTTCCGAAATTTTGAAAATATTTCCAAGTTCGAGAGTTTTTCCTTTCTTTTTTTTGCCTCAAGAAACGAAAATTGTTTTATTTAGATTTTGTTTAATTGGTATGCTTTCCTCCTTTTTGTTGTTGTATCCATAAACATTTAATTGGTCCAGTTGGTCGAATTTGTGGGTGTGTGTGAGGGAGACAGATGGTGCGTACGTGTTCGGTTGTCTGTGTGTGTGTGTGTGATTAGAGTGGGATAGAGAGAATGTTCTAATTAATTCCTTTGTATCTTTTCTTTATTTGCCAGAGAGCGCTGCCAGAGTTGTAGCGTGTTTATCTTGTTGGTAGAGTTGATCGTAATAGAGTTGCCTTTCGATTTGCCGAGATTGCGTATTGTGTGAATTGGTTTGCCTTTAGCTTTTTGGTTTCTTTTTGCTGGTTTCTCTTTGAGTTTTACACGCTTTCTTCTTCGTTGAAATTTGGAATTTTGAAGAATATGCTGAAAGGATAAGAAAAATAATACATTAATTAGGTATGTATGTAAAATATATAAAGAGTATTAAAAAAAAGAAGAAAAAAGAAAAGCTAATATATTTATAAAAGCAATTTGATTACATTTGTATTTAAAAAAAATACCCAAAAAATAACCCAAAAAGTTGCTCAATTCGCTCAATTCCTTTTCTACAGTTGCAAGAATTTTTAATCATATTTGGCAAATAGAAATGGTAACTTACTTTCAACCAAGTTTATTGCCCCGGAGCACTTCTCAGATTTACCCAAATTAACGTGAGATTTGACTATTTACCTTAAATGTAGGCTATGGCAAATGTCACAAATGTGAGTGTGTTGGTGAAAACTTTCACTACCTTAATTACCCCAAAATGAATGTTATTCTTGTTTGGCCAAGAGGAGGAAGCGAAATGGGTGGTTTTTCGGGGGTTAAAAGTTGAATGGCAATGCCACATAGTCGGCTGTTATAGTTGTTCTTCTTCTTGTACTTGTTGTTGGTGTTGCTGTTGTTGTTGTTGTCTCGGAAAGTCTGTTAACTGTCTGCGTTGTTGCCTCAAGTGGCACACACACATACACACAAACTCGGGTAGAATGTTTTGGTGAAATTAACACATATACAGAGATGCACACACACACACAGTCACAAAGAGAAAAGTTTACGACTGCAACATGTGGCAGGCGCGTTTAATTATGACGTTGCTCACATTGAGCGACAAAAGTCATCATTTGCATTATGTCTGCATGCAAATAGGGCTCACACAAGAGTATTTCGAGTAATAATATTTACCAATATTATTTCATAGTAGAAATAAGCCGTCAAAAGAAGTTTTGACCATCTTTCACTATCTTCGAACATCACTGCAACAACAATTACTTCAGCCACTTAAGTATTCTATTAAATTAGAATAAGAAACCAAAATAGTCTGATTTTTCAACCTTGAAAAGGGTTGTACGTTTTGGGTTTTTCCACAACTTTTCGGCCCATTGACGTCATCACTCCCTCTTACACTTTTCTGCTCTTTTGCATATTTTAATCAGCCGCAACTGGGAAGTGGGAAAACAAGAAAGAAAAGCTGATGGCAGAGTAAGAAAACGCCGAGCAGCATCTGGCAGTTGTGTCTGTGGTTGTGGCATTGAAAAAGTTTCCATTTTTGCCTCGACTTTTAACTCGTCGTTGTTGTTGTTGCTGTGCTCCTGTTGTTGGTTTTACCAAGCATAAGTAGGTTCAAAGTTCAAGTTCAAGCACATGCAGAAAATGGCAGAAAATTAGCCATAGCTGCCTGATTAACGGAGAAAACCTCTTGTGGCTTTAACATCTTGAAGTTATCATGGAATGGAAAATTAGAAAACAGGAAATATTAGCTCAATCTTAATTAGTTTCAGGCAATAAAGTTATTGCTTACTTGAAGGGCACCTACCTACCTACCAAAACGATCTGTTCAATTGCTGCGAAATCGAATGGGGCAGCACGCACTGATAGGCCTCACTTGGAGGACAGCAAACAGACAGAAAGAAGGCTCTAAGCCGGGGGAAATCCGGACGGGCCACGGATATAGACAGAAGTCAGGCATACGGACGGACAGACAGACATACGGACAGACTAACGGACAGACAGACAGTTAAACCAATGCCAGACATCCAGACGGGGAGTCAGACTGGAGTCAGACGGCGAGACGCATTGTTGATAGATACTCGTACTAGAAGCGAGTCTAGAAAATGTCTAGGGGTTCTACATCTGCGAACATGTGTGTACATATATGTACATATATAAATATATTTATACATATATTTTATGTGTTTATGTGTGGCAAATACATGTAATTCCCATAAACAATGACGACAGGCTGCTTAAAATGTCTGCACAGCTGTTTGATGTGTGAGTGTGTTGCATCAACAGTTGAGGCAACTGCAGACAGTTGAAGATACACCCCACGCCCCCTTTCCACCCCCTGCAACCCACGTGAAACCGCCTTGCACCGCCAACACCCCCACACCCCTGGCCACACAATCGTCACATATTTATTAACCCTTGTGCGGGAAAGTGTCATGATTTATCCTCTTAATTGGAGCTTTGATTTTTAGCCATCAACGAGCATTATAAAAGAAATATATAATTTAAAGAAAATCTATAAAAAGATACTCGGCTGAAAAATATTGTTAAAAATATTCGAATACTAAACTGTTGTTGGTAATTCACAATTTTTAAAGATAATTAACGCTGTTGAGCTATTTGAAACGCGCTGAAAATATTAATTAGATACCCAAATATTTCGAATGTTTCCCAAAAAACAAATTGGCGACTTTTGACCCCCTGAGACACCAGTGGGGTTAAGCTCGTGGCCCAGGACTCCAGGAGTGAAGAAGACACACAAAAATAAAAATGAAAATAAAACGCAACAAAACACAACAACTGAAAAACCCTCGACAGTGGCATGTTGCATATTCCGTGTTGCAGGTGAAACGCGCTGTTCTCGTTGAATGGAAAAGGGGGCAAGTGCAGGGGAAGTGCGGGGGAAAAGGGAAATGTCAGAGGGGGGAGGAGGTGGAAATGGCGAAGGCAATGAAGGAGAATGATGTTTTTGAATGGGAATGGCAGCGGGTATATAAAAACTGCAGGGAAGAAGGGCTCCGAAGTCTGGTGGTACATAAAACTCAGCCCTTAGTTGGCGTCTTGCGTTTTTAATTTCGTTTTCTTTGTGCGCATTTTCCATTTATTTTATCTGTCTCGTCTGTCTGTCTGTCTGTTTCTCTCTCTCTCTCTCTCTCCCTGTCTCTTTCTCCACGTCCATCCTCCGTCCCGCTCCCGCTCCCGCGATACCGCTCAGCGATATGGACAACTAAACACGGGCAAGGACATACCGAAAGGACACCGACGAAATTCCATCCACTTGTGTGCAATTGGCGCCCTGCGTGACACATAAAAAAAGTAGAGGCAACGCCATAGTCAAGTGTCGCGACTATTAGATACCCATTACTCAGATAGTGACAAGCAACGTATATCCTTTACTGTGTGAACTATATACCCTCTTACTCTACGAGTAACGTGTATAATAAACACATATAGAAAATACCACGCGCAAAAATGTTGACAATAATTTATGCAATAGTAATAATCGAAAAAGGAAGGGGAATAGGAAATAAGTAAGACGGAATAAGTACATCATAAACTGCGAATAGGGAAGCATAAAGAAGAGCTGGTAAATATACATATTTATATAGCGCAGCGCATTCCAAAATGCAATACAACATTTTTGTGTTATAAAATTCTTACATTATAAACATTTGAAAGATTTATGTTTACTGTAAGTAAGCAAATATAAATTGCAATACGTTGGATAACATAATTGAAAACTTTATAGATACCAATAACGGACAACTTGTATTTTAGTCAATTTTTGTGCCTGCAAAATGTTTTCTCCGCAAAATTGACGATATTTTATTAGAACCCGTGGAATTTTTGTGCATCTATGTATTAGTGCTGTGGTTTGGTTTGGTTTTCAGCCTGGGCGACAGAATTCGTTGAATTTATGAAACTTTAGACGGCAATCGACTGACGACGAGGCGAACCCGAGGGATAAACGGACAAATGTCACGGCATCTCTCCATTTCGAGAGTGTTTTGGACTTGGGCAGAAGTGGCAGGGGCGGGGGAAATTTCATAACGAGACAAATATAAAATATGCCAAACAAGTTAAGGAAGTCGAAGGGGTTAACAAAGTTGCCACAAAGAAACAACCGCAATGAAATGTGGGAGTCAAGCCTGCAGTTTGAAAGCTGTCATCTGGAATCAGGGCGTAAACATTGAAATAATTGTTTAAGAAATTAAATTGAGAGTCCCAGGACAAAGTGGCAAAAAGCCAACATTAATTTCTAAGTAATCTTCATTATCTTACACATTTCTGTGGCTCTAATTTGCCACGTGATTTGCCTATAAGTCCATAACACAATTGTTAAGACCAACTGAATGTACGTACATGGCTCATTTTCTGAGACACCAAGCCCCAGAATGACCGACTGTCTGGCGGACGGAATGATTGAATGACAGGCAGCAGAATGGTCAGTATCCCCGCAAACCCCGCAAGCCCACCATCTTTTTGGCCGGCAACCCCTTCTCATAATTATAAAGTTCTTTTCTTGAGCGCGTCTGCAATATTTGCATAAATTATTGTACAACAAACAGCAGTTTTTTCTTTCTGCATTCATTTTCCAGAAAATGACGTTGTGAAAAATGCAGCAATCATTTTTTACGAACTTATTTTGTATAGTTTTTTTTTATTGTATTATTTCATTTTATTTTTTTTTGTTTTTTTGTTTTGCATATGGCAATATCAGTGACGGAATTCCTGGAAAAACACATAGGCAAAAAGAGCGAAACAAAATAAAAGAAAAAAGGAAAACAGAAGACAAATATGAGGGAGAAGGGGTGCGACAATTGCAGCGGGTGCACTACACCGGCAAAAATAATAGTAAAATGTAAATATATGAATAAGCTTTCTCGCAGTTCAATGATTTCGAATAATAACACATATTTAAGACCAATTAAAATAGATCTAATATGAATATAACATCGTTAAACTATTAATAAAAATGCGTTTTTTTTCCTGTGCAGCAAGTGCAGCTGCAGCAAAGCGTCAACGTCAGCGGGGCAGTGGACATTGAATATGAATACGAATATGAATATGATTATGAATATGAAACCGAGACCATACCCCTCTGCCCCGCCCCCTTTTGCGGCTGCACCGCCTACTCCTTAAGCAAACTGAAATCTCAGTGTCAGCGAATATCACACAAATGCAACGGGAATCATCAACAAATTTGTCTTCGCGAGAATTTCAAAACGGAGTTGGGGGAAAAATGCGAAAAATGATGTGTGGGGGCCACTAGATCAAATTTATCAGCACTGGTCATCAGGAATACTTTTCAATTTTTATTAAAAATGTGTATCCCATGTCATAAATATGATTTTAATACCAAAACCGAAATCAACTGT